AGACAAGCCGACTCGTGTTGAAACTACTTTTAAACTAAACCAGTTTGTTCATTGGAAAACGATTTCGCCAAATCAGCAGGTAGGTCTGTGTAAATCGTACAGAATGATGGACAGTGCTTTGCCTTCAAAGTTTGCTGATTTTTTTGTTAAAACTAACTACATATACGGACAAATGTACACCTTATTATTTGAGTAAAGCGGGTTGAGCACGTGAGTGGAAGTTTGTGTGTTTAAAATCCTGTAACTTGTCTTGTCGGTGGTCATCACGCAATCGGGATTCCCATTTACTCTTTGGAATTGCAGGAGATTTCTGAAACATAACTTAATGAAAAATGTGTACAAAAGTTAGCCAGATGTGTGAAATTTAATAGCAAAATAGTACCTTAAACCCCTACCGACGCAGCAAATAAATGGGTAATTATCCAACATTGAGCTTTGACGTAGAAACGTACTCTTTGAACTGGCAAAACCACACCCCAATGTCTCATTATTGTAGCAACCTCAAAGGTACTGCTTAAAAAACTAGCACAATCATTAAATTTGTTAAAGGAATAACGCTTCCCACCCATAAGTATAATTTGAGTAAAAATTGGCCCTTTTATTTGACAAATTCAGTGATAGGTGTCGAACAATTAGGACATGAACTCACAGAGCACTCAGGTCTCTGTTGATTGGACACCTTAATAAAAGCGGGTGATTTTATCACGTAAGGTGACCACATTGAGCTTGACGTGGTTCTCTACCTGATGTTACGTTGTCAGGCTACATTTGTAAAACAAGGAATTAGGTGAAAAACCCGAAACTGTAACTTAATGCCTTGACTGACAACATGGGGTTGTGGTGTGTTGTCTGGCATTGTTTGGAATAACTGGTTTCTAGTATGAAGAAGACCGGTGCAACAGAGGAACCTTTATTGACCAATCACAAGCTAGAAGCTTTCATCAGGTGTCGTCCACGCGAGTCCACCATGTTGACTGCCTCACGTCCCTCCCTGTCTCCAGTTGGCTGCTGATCTTCTACGTAGTCCATTCAAACCTTCACAAACAACTGATTGACTGAGCCCGCCGTGATCCAATATGTCTGAGCCCAAGTACTAAGACTCAGGTATTCTAATTTAGAGCTTTTACGATTGCCTGTAACAAAAATCAACTTAGAGGGCGAGTGCGCGAACCACCTGCTTATGAGTGAGTCGTCACCTTCTCAGGCCATGAGCTCGTGTTCTACTAACTCAGTCAATGTCCAAACATCATAGCAGCATTCGTCGTATGATGCGAAAGTGAATGATAACGAGTAAAAGCCTATTTGTGAAAACATCGGCATGGTGCAACGAGGGCAACTGCAGGAACAGATACGATGTAAATTGATCAAGCGCCAACCTCAGTGTTATGAAATAAGCCGCCTTGAGGAATAGAGGCTTTCTTGACACTTTCGCGTGCTCTAAGCCCTGGAGTATAGTGTGTGTTTAAAACGTTGCTGACTGTTCTTTCCTGTGTGTCAGTTAACAATGAGGAGAATGAAATAGGTTATGTGGACCTATAGTACAGTGACGGGGGCTCAAATTATCCAGTTCTTCGGCCAGCAGTCAAAATACCCTCTTGAGCTTCGACATTAAGTTTGACCAAAGACAACTGTGAATTGCAGCACCACATTTCTAGATCAAAGAAACCGAGTAGTAACTGGATTCGAAGGTCAGGTGGAGTGCGTTGTTTGATGATATTTGACTAGTGGGCTTCGCCATTTGAGGTTTTAATCAACTTGGAAACTTTCCTTTAACTAGAGTGTTTAGTGGAGGGGGGGAATTCGGTTCAAGAGGTTGGATTAACTTGTGGAAAAATGTTAAAGGCAACAGCAGGCGATGTGATGTGGCCTTTTACGCTAATTAGCCTCCACACCTTTAAAGCAACCAACTTTTTGTGACAGCAGACACCTAGTGAAACATTATTAAGAATGACCCTTGCTTGGTTCTTAGATGTAGGTCTTTTCAAATGTTTACGGAACATTTGTCTAGGAGACGTCAGTAGAACAGCGATTTCTGCAACACTAACACCAAACACGATGGACTGATTATAAATTTGACACAATTTGGTAAAAACGCTCACAGTTACTTAGACGATGATTATCAGAAGCCCAAAGTGACGATGTCAATTCTCTATAGTATTGCAAAACTTTTCACTTAACGCTTAGATGATTGTGTTAGTAAACTCTGACTCAATCTCGTATAAATCCAGTTCCAACGTTTAAGAAAAACACCTCCAATTATTTCACATGATTACAGCAAGGTAAGAAGGTTATTTGAGCTAAAACGACACTCAAGATTTAATAAGGTTAGCATGGTTCAAACGTTCACTTACATTTTTATTGAAATAACTGAAAGGATTGAATTGAACTAACGAACTGCCTCATTTTATTAGGTGTTGGAGGAATGTAGCAGCCAACATTAAGGACAATTCTGGCAGGAGATAACGCTAAGGCTCCCTCGATGTCCTTCGGGGACCACATCAACGCCAGGCGACCTGGAAGGGGGGAGAGGGCAGGTAACGCGCATTTCGATCGATTTGATGCTACAGCTAACTTACTGCAACAAAATTGCCTTCCAACTTAGCAGTTTAATGACTGTTACGAGCAAATAATGAGTGCAATATACGCACTTGAGATTATTCAGTTACTTGACCTTTTTAGCATGGCACATGATTCTGTGATCAGGTTAGCAGAAGGTTTAAACTAGGTTAACGACATGTAAGAACTTTGGCAAGATCGATTAGGGTCTGTTACATGTAGGCATTGTCAAGCGACGCTGAACCGAACTGATTGAACAACTGAACAATTTAGACTGTGTCCAAGCTCAAACGCTAGCTTACGTTGCTAAGATGTCTAAACGCTGGATTTGATTCCAGGCAACCTGATATTAGCCTGATGCAGTAGTTAATTATTTATAAATATATGATTAATGAATATACCATATATTCGGCGAAGTTCAAAAATCAGTGTCTTCAGTTGTGGCGCAGTTGGCTATTGCGTGCATTCGAGACCAAAGCTAAAATTTGCTGACGGATAGAAAACTTGGGCAATTTTTCAATGTCTTGAAGCGAGCTAGAGCCAAATCTAAGGGGAAGGGTCTATCAGGTGACAGCCAAATATTTTTTCTGTGGTTTCGCGGAATGCAATATAAAAAAACCATTTTAATAAAGGGCATGGCTCACTATCACGAAGAAGGTCATTTAGATAAGTAATTTTTGCGGTTAATGCTTTAATCAAATCTACGATAAATATATGAAATCGCTAGCGAATAGCGTTTTCTTGGAGAGACAGTCAAATTTGCAACTGTCAAGCAGTTGGCCGACATGGCCGGTTCTGATTGTGGTCATTGAAAGAACTATTTTTTTTCAGTGATGTAAACTATACCTATCCAGGGTTCAAAGACCCTGAATGTTTATTGATACCAATTCACTTAAGCGAGTGCGTTCAGTCAGCGTATGACTGGCAATTGTTACATTTTCTGACAACAAGCACTCCCGTCACCATCACCAGTTTTTTTCCAAGAGATTCAAAGTCCTGCGCGATTAACAAGAAGTCTGATAATAGGCCGCTATGTGTGTCCATCGATGAGTAAATTTGTTCTTCATTGGAAACAAAGGAATTTTTTTCCAATCAACGTTGAAGCGCAGAGTGTCTTTTGTGACCCAAGGCTTGTTCATATACGTGTCTTCTCTGTGCCATCTCACCTGACCCACGTAGTAACTATAACCAAATTAATATGCGCTTACTGACTGCCGAACATTGTGACCTTCTGAATTCGTGTGGTTATCTTACACAATTGCGTCATTTGAATAGCTTAGCTATTTAGGCACTTGCGTCCACGATTTTATTAAGGAAAATTGAACGAAGCATTTGATTGACTGCTTTTTGTAAGTATATACTATCAGATAATACTCTATTTCATTTATTTGTGTGAGCTTTCGGGTTTTTTCGCTTTTGCCTACAAATCTTTTGTCCTTGATTTACTTATATACTAAATAATCGTAAACCCTGCAAACCCAAAATTTCCTTGGCCGAATTTTGAACATATTCCTAATTAAGCTAAAGAGTTTGGAAGTACCGCATATTCTTACTTTGTTTGGCAGCATAAATAGCAAAGACGCTAATAGATGAAAGGACCAAGTTAAATGCACTTCATCACGCATATGCTGCCGCTGCTACAGTTCTCAACATATAGGTCCACTTTTACATTGGGTAAAGGATAAGTGGCAATATTAGATTTTCTCAATTTTTGAGTAAAGCCGAAGTGATTGTGCTCCATTCATTACTTAAAGTAAAATATAAATTTTTGAGCATGAAATTGGGACTACTTATTATCCGAAACATGCCATCGTGACAAGTAAATATTCACAAACAGACTTGATACCAGAAAGCGGTCTAAAAGGCACAATTAATGGAAGTGTTGTTGCCCCGGCCCCCCCCCCCCCCCCCCGGGAATCTCACTTCAAAGCTGTGATAACACTCTCAGTAATCGTGAAATTTCTCTGGCATGATTGACTCCATTTTTTCAGAAGGAACTATCTTGTCGTAGTTTACGAAACGTACCAGGCATTATCAAGCTATTTATGTTGGACTAAATGGTTAATAACATAACGGTCTATCTTGTAAGTCCCAACCATTGAAAACAGAAATCTGTTTTTCTAAAGTTATTGCACTAGATAACGCTTAGTATGCTAAAGATTATAAAGCCTAGATCTAGCCCAATGTGTGTTTGTGGAATTATCTGCGATTTTTAGGTTCTTCAAATAGCATTTGTTGCTTAAAGTGGGTTCTAATATAAATCTAATGTAAGTAGATAATTTTAAAGGCAATAGTTAATAGTTCCAATAGCAAGGAAATCAAATGTTAAAACAAATTAGCCATGTTTAAGTGTATCAATTTTGAGTAATATATTTGTTGGTTTTTAAAAATTCCTAATTAACCTTGTTTATCATTTTCATTGGTCCTAGCCTCGTTGATTGGTTATGCCGCATCCGCGACTCTGTTGTCTGCGAATAGATGAAGAGTACTCGGGATTTGGTTTTTCTTTGGTAGCTACAAAAAATGAAACGGGACAATTTATTGACGAAGTAAGAAGTGGGTCACCTGCTGCAAGAGCTGGCCTGAAAGATGGTGACTTTGTCGTTGAAGTCAATGGCGAAAACATACGTATGATATCTACTTAGCGTATGCTAAATATGTTAATTGTATATCTAGTATTATGCCTATAGGTTTTGTGCTAATCGTTGCACATTAGTCATTTCGTTGAGTTTTTTCTCTGTCTGCTATTACCGTACACCGTTTTGAAGTGTGAATGACGTCGTAATTCGGATTTTGGATTTTTTAACATTATTTTTAGTAATGTCTGAATTAATTCGAAAAATCCAATTCTGTTCGCTAAGTGACGTACATGTTTGCTTTAACAATAGTGCTAGTGAAACTACACCACCATGTTTATTTACCCTTTATACCGAGTACTTTCCATTGTTAATAACCTAATATTCTTCCGTAAAATGTATCCGGTTTGACACGATAAGAATTGTGTAGTTACGTTTTAAACCTGTGTTTTCCCAAAATATTCCTACGACATGCTTTGCCAGCCATGGTCATAGTCAAGTTTTGTTTATTTTTATTACATTATTTTGTCAGGTATTCCCGTGTTTATAATTCTTTATTGTCTACTTTCCCATACAAAAATTCCGTCGTATTCACATAGTTACTGATCGGCGTGCCTTCTTTGTGTAAATTATGTAAAATGTCTTATTTTGCCCATCAACGATGTTCGAATATGGACATCTCAACCAGTCCATCCAAGTTCTGAGTGATCGTTTTAACCGTGCACCACCTATTTCACTAGCTTTTTTTTAAATTTCGACCTGCATCATTTTTTGTGTCTAGTGTCTCTGTCACACTCAGAAGTTGTTGAACTTATCAGAAAAAACCCAAACGAGGTATCCTTTCTTGTTCTGGACCCAGTGTCGAGGCGTCACTACGACGAGTGCTCTGTTGTCGTTCATGGACAGTTGCCCGAAGTACAGCGCATATGCTCTTGGTCTGATACCTCCTGCACATCTCCGAAAGTGTCTGGTAATAACTTAGCCTTGAAATGTTCTCTTCTAAACAGGAACATGCCCCCCCCACATCTAGCTATTTTGACTTTTTACATTCTGTCATCTCTTTTTATGTTCTACAACCTGTATATTATAATTTTTCTCGAACTATAAAGAAACTCCAGCTTAGCACTGTCCCATTAACTCTAATTGATGGTATCGATGCGGAATTGAAAGCCAAGTAACTTAACCGCTATTCATTCGTGCTTTGTTGCGCCATACTTTCTAACCAAGCTCTGTTTTTTTCCGGTGGATATTTCTTGAACTGAGGAATGCAGCTTCGGATCCTTATTTCTTTTTTTTTCTTTTTTTTAGGATCTTCAGAAAACAATCATAGCTCTGTAAGTTTTTTGTTCACTGGTCTGCTTCTTAGCTTGCGTCTGGGTTAGATTGGGTTGTTTTTTAATCTTCATTTCTTACGGCGCGTGATTTCACATGGATATGCCCAGTGTTGTCCACGTACGCAAATTTCTGTCTAGAACCAAGGAAAGTTGCGTCATTTTTTAGTCATTTTCCTGTCCTGTCCTGTCCTGTTTTTTTTGTAATTCGTTCACGTTTAGGAAGCTCAATAAACCCTACTGATTTTTTGTAAGCTCCGGTCCATGGGCATTACAAAGGTTAGCGATTCTATGAGGTCTGTTGGTTTTCAGGTCTTTAAAAAAGTGATTTTTGGACTCGATATTTCGGCATAGACTTTGACACCGTCATGTTTACATAGTTTGCAGTGTTCGTGCCGACTTGCGCGGTTTGGGCAAATTGGTCTTTCCTTCACCAACGTCTGGAGTACCTATTTTCCTATTTCATTCCAAGGGTGGGTACTTGTTAGTCACATCCACAAATCCAGTAATCTTGTGGCTTTTACCTGGTAAATATTGTCTACGATTTGCCGGAAGTAAGTAATTTAGTTTGGTCAAAAGTGGCACTTAAATACTTGGGGACCGTTCTCCCTCTGGCAATTCATTACTATCACCTTTGTAAAAGGAGTGCGTAGTGAAAAGTAACCTGCCTTATAGTTCGTTGAAAGCAATCATGCAAAGGATAAAGGCAGTCAACATTTTCTTCGTTTTCGTTTTGCCTTTTTTTATTTGAATCACAGGTCATATCTAAAGGGAGGGTGACAACGGATGCGTACGTGTGACAGATTTTCCTCCACCGACTAAAACCATGCCGTCTAAGATTGTGGCATCATATTCGCTCTAGTTTTGCGACAGAGCAGAGGAGGAATTCCTCTGGTTTGTTGCTATTTCAGGTCAAAATTGATGGCGGTGAGCGGATACTTTTGGCGTTTTGTATTCTTAAATGCAAATGCAATCTCTGCTGCATTAATGAAAAAGAGGCTTCAGTGTCGGCTGCATCACTCAACTGTGTGCTTCTACGGATTGTGGTTTTGCCAACCACCGTATTTTAACACGTGTACACGATCAGTGGGTTTCGTGGTCACCTGCTCCACTTACTCAAGCGCAACGGTTATTGGGCTGTCCCCGCAACTGACCTCCAAGAGTTCACGCATCTCAACATGTTGGATTTGGCGTCTTCAATCCATAGGCAAGCACTCTCCACCCACTGGCCTCCTACAATTACCCATAAAGAAGAAAACCGCATTAGGCAAACTCAATCATTTGATTAGTGTCGTCTGAACGCCTTCAGCTATTAACTTGACGCGCTAAACATGAATTAATAACATGGCGAAGTCCCATTTCCGTGTATTACCCGGTCGTTCCTTCCTCTTGAGAAGTACTTTTGTGGTGATGATGCCAACTCCCTTGGTTGGAAGTTTCTTCAATTCACGTTAATGCCGCGTTGCAATTCTTCGAAACAGTCCTCAGATCAGGTTCGTATTTTTGCCAATCGGCTGTGCGAAAAGAAAGCTCTTTCTGTCTACCGATTCCTCGTCTGGTTAGCAGCAGCACGTTAGCTTAGAATGCGCTTCCTGTAGGTTTCACTATGTTCGTGATGTCGTCTGAATTTCTCCACGTATTCAACTACATCATGCTTCCACGTGTCGGCTTACCTGATGGGGAACTTTGTGCTGCTGCAGAGGTGGTAACGATGCAACTTCCTTAATTGAGAGTTTCAACAACTCACGTTGATGCCAAGTTACCGCTCTTCAGAGACTCTTCAATAGACCTCCTTCAGACACCAGTTTGTATTCCTTGAATCAATTCACAGCCTTTAGATCTGACCACCAGTTTCACATGTTGCCAATCGGCTGTGCGATAGGAAAACGCTTCTCATTCACAGATACCTCCTCTGGTTAGTAGTAGGACTTTAGCTTAGAATAAGCCTCCAAAATGCTTCACTATGCTTACAATTGTGGTAATTAACCGCGAACCCTGCACGTTTTCCAGGGTGGATGTGGTATCCCTCGCATTGGTCGAAGTATTTCCTGCACAAAATGCAACTCGACCACTGTCGACTTTCATTCCTTCATGGGTTGTAGTCGTCAATGTGCCCCCGTGCTGCCTCTCGCTACCCTCATTCCACATTTTTTATCCTACTTTCTAAGTGACTTAACGGTCAAAGTGTTGTAGTCCAAGTAACCTCCAAAGTTGTCTTTGGACTTTGCTCGTGGCTACTTTTTACCGCGTAGTTCATTTGATTAGCACCGCCCACTGACTCGAATATTTTACCTCAGTGTAGGTGCATTATTTGTGGCCCACAGGACACTGGACTCGGGATGAATAACTGAGAAATTAGCCATGCTTTTTGTAAATTTTCTCCTAAGAGCCTAACCATCTTCCCTAGACCAAATGGTGTTCAGCTGGCTAAAACCGCATAATGCGTCTTCGTTGAATCTGTTTGTAGATGAGGCAAGGCAGATCCTCCTGCTCAACGTTTCCCAATTAAAGGTTCCTTGATTGGCTTGCTTTGTTCGTCTGATCGGTGTGCTGCTTCCACTCTGATTGAGGCCTTTTAGGGTTGTGGTATTGCTCGATTAGGAAACTGATATTTTGCTCAAGTGCGAGTGTGTGGCTGCGGGTGTTGGAATTAAGCAGTGCTTTGCGCTGTTTGCGCCTATCGTTGCAAGATTTGTTGCCAACTCTCAGAGTAGCACCTTTTTTTCCTGTGGAGGAGGGCCAAGTGAACGCCACATCCACGTTGCCTTCGAACGAGGCTCCCAGATCCCCCACGACTTCAGAAGCAGGTGGCGACAGGCCCTCCAAGACTGTGAAACCACTGGACCCGGTAATCCAGTTGTCTGACCCCACGCAACCCTCAAAGCAGCCAAAGCAACCGAATTTCGCGCGCAGTGCCCCTTCTCGAAGAGCCCGAATGGACGCGAGCACGACATTCGGGGACAGAGCCAGGGTTTTTGATGAACTCTAAAGCCTAGCGACGAGTGCGCCGAGTTTCCATGCCTCCTTATCAGCTGCTGTTATTAACCAAGGTTGCCTTATTCTCGTTACTAACTTTTTTCTACTTTTGCACGCCCCACCGACCACCACCTCTACCCCTCCAGTCTTGAGGGGGCTGAACCGCTCACTCTCAATACACAAACTTGCACACTTCGATAACTGCATCCCTGCCCGCCAAGTACTGCCACTTACCATGAGGCATTGGATTACCTATTGCCTTCTACCTTCGTGTAATCAATCACGTTGTGTTTCTTGTGATACCGTGCCTATCTCTCCCTCAAGAGCACGTTGTCCCCTCCCCTCCTCCCCCCTACTTGACGCCACCCCTACCACATCCTAACTTCTTCAAGCTGTGAAAAACGATGTGCATTCCACTGCATACATTTATATCGGTTCACCTTTTTTTAATTTGCCATTTAATGCTTTACCAAAAGATCTGGCAATAGTTAACGAGTACACATTTGCAGCGGAGGCGGTGTTGTGGCTGGTGTTCTGGATTTGATGCGGGTCTACGGTAGTGTCGCAAAGCAGCCTGCAGCATCACTTAGTTTGTCATCTATTATTAAGCGCGCAATTAGGCATTGCTTGCTACGCCGGGATCACAGACTGATTTTAGGAATTGGTTGCTCAATTTGGTCTTCGGACACCACTGTAGACACTCGGAGGGTCACCTTAGCACGGAAAGTTTCAGTTCATCGGCTCGAATGTCACTGTCGGCCTCAGGGATGCACTGCTGTCGATAGTGCTGGCAGCAATTTACCGGGTCTCAGTGTGGGCTCGCATTAGCTCAATAGATGTACTCGTGAACCTAGTCGCACACTACGTTGAAGTCTTCCCGCTATAGGCTGCATGACTCGGAACTGTCGCCATTGCTGTCATACTGACTTTCCAGTCCGATGGAAATTGTGGCTGACCAGTTAAAGAGGAAACCAAACTATTTATCATTCATCTGGGGAACTCATGACTGTATTGCGTGAGCGAGTAGCAACACCGCTTTCATTTACACTATAACAACCTCCATAGTTGGCTCTCTTGTTCCCGTTTACACGTAAGTGTCGGTTGTGTACCAGGCACATGAATTCGGCGGATTTTCAAGATAAATTCATACGCACAAACATATAAGCCTATGCGAACGGAGCAGGCCTCTTAAATTTTATCGCCGAAAAGTTTAAATCAACCTCAAATCTTAAATAAACGACTTAAGAAAGCTGTTTAAATGCCTAGAATACCTGGAATTCAGCTCTTCAAAATTAAAATATATTTTTCTAAATCACCGAAAGAAATTTTCTAAATATTTTGCATATATAACGACCTTGCTCATCTCTGAAGCAATTGCTACTGAGGAGAAATCTGGCACGTTCGCATAATTCTCACCCTCAGATCTTGTTTCAGTGCACTCTACAATGATTAAAATGTCACTTTCGACGTGTCGAGGTGGCTGTGGTAGATGAACGCTTCTGCCTTCTACTGGCTAACACATTTGTGGCAATTCCTTAACATATAAATAATCCTAGAATGTCAGAGGATATGTCTTGTCAATGTATGCGATTCTCCAACCAATTTTTGAGCTTCTGATAATTTTCACTTTACCTCCGTTAACTGTGGTTGTAATTGATTTAAAGCCTGTTCGCCCTCCGTTTCTAATCTGCAGATAGAATCGTTGGTTTGACGGGATGTCATGTTACTTTAGCACGAAGCGTAATGCGAGGGAAATGACATAACCTGCAGTAATTAAAACAGAACTGCTTTTAATTGATTTCGACTCGTACTATGGTCCTGACTATGCTCAAGATCCGATAAATGAACTAGCAGTGTTAAGGTCAAAATACCTTGTTGTTGGCTTAAGGTCATATGGTAATGTGGGTTTCGTCAGTTGCGTTGATTTTGCCTCGATATAAGGTGTTTTCATAACTAACGCAGTGAGCATTACGGTCAAATATTCAAAACTGCTTGTTGTTGCTCTTGTCAATTGTCAAGATTTTACATACCCAATTCCACTTTTGTTGAACTCAAGCCACCACATTTAGGGCATATCAAAATCTAAGTCGCTGCAAGTGATTACTATACTACTTTTATTATGAGACATGATTTCCGCAGTTCGTACTATACAGTCAAATCCAAATCAAGTTATTTTTAAATTTAACATTGAAAGATCAACCTGAGATTTGTTGGTTAATCCAAAAGATTAAAAATGAAAAGATGGTAAAGAATTGTGATGTTTAAGGATAGGTCTAATTGAAAATATTATTTTTTTAGAATGACAGGATAAATAAAAGCTTCGATCAAAACTGATTTCCGTAAAAATTATTGCTTTGGAGAATATGAGATAGAATTGCATTGGCTAATTTAAATTGGAATGTTGGCAGATGACTTTGTCAAGTTGATCAGAAAGGTCAATACGATGAAGATCAACATGACTGCAGCTTTTAGTTCGCCCGTGGCCCCGAGTAAATGAGGTCGAACTTTAAATAATTTCAGTAATTTGCGTTTGTTTACATGAATTACGAATATGTAACAAAAGTCAACACTTGGATAATATTTTTAAAACTTCTAAGCTTTGCATGAGCCACCGCCATGATTTCGAATTTGTGAACAAAAACCAACCATTGTCTACAGCGCTGTGGATAAAAAAAGATATCCGAATCAGTTAAACATGGACTGTGTGGTGCCTGAAATGTCAACGGAATTTACCCAGTTTTGTATCGCCAAAATAAATGATTTCATTTGTCCATTTTACAACGCCTAATGTAGGTCAGTCTTTTTAAAGCGCGTATAAATTTCTTGCTTAATCACAAAGCTGTTTGTAATGGTCTGGAATATCTCATGCATTGGCTGGATCCCTATTTGATGTGCCTGCTCCATATTTATAAAAAGAGATCTAGACTTAATAAAATTGAGTTACTAAAACCTGTTTTTAACAACCAACACTTATGCTCACCATTGAAGGCTGTCTAGATACACTGATATTTTAATACGGTTTTGTTAATTAGCGTTTAATGTCTTAATCAAATATATTCGCTTAACTATTTTCCAACGCTTTTAATGTTTCTCTTAAGCGGTCTGCTTTGCGTGTTTGGATAAAAAGGCTTTCAAGTTGCATTTGCTTCGCACTTATATTCCAATGATTGCAAATGTATTATTCCGCCTCTCAAATATTTTGGCATCCTCGATAATTACTCCTGTTAGTCCCTTTTTATTTTACTTGTTGTCTAAAAAACATTGCCTTATTCTTAAACATCACACTCATTTTAACATTTTAGAGCTCCCTGCCCTTTGCCATTTTCCTTTTTTAAAAAATTTAGTAAGGTCACATGCGTTGGTGAAGGGCCATTGTGTTCGAATGGTTAGTTGATTTCTTCTATGCCTTTTGGCTTTGCTAAATTTGCGTATAATGACGAAACAAACAAGAAAGTTTCTGTTGTTTTTGGTTAATTTATTATCTTTTAATAATTTTAGGAAAAAGTGCTTCTGGTCCTTCTTCGAAGTCTTCTCACGGATAAAAAAACCAAGTGTTCGTCTCTTTCACTATTCTAACCTGCGATTTATTAGTCTCAAAAAAGGCCGCCTTCCTTAGTGTTGAACTTGTGAAATTGTATGTGAACGGTTTGTTTTTATTTTAAGCGTAGTCTAATTTCGTTTAGAAGCCTTGGAAAGAGCTGCCGCTTCTGCAAAAAAGGCTGGTCGACAGGAAGCTACTTTGGAAGATTTTGAGTCCATTATAATTCAACTATTTCTTGACTTTGCCGGCTAGTTATGGCAAAAAACGATGACAATCGCGAATTACTTGTGGTTGCAATCGATTTAACTCCTGTTTGGTGGGGCACCTACGCCCATGAAAACCTCATCCTCCCTACCTTTATCGAATCTATACTTGCCTTCGTTAATGTCCACCTGATGCTCTCGCCTCTGAATGAGGTTGCAATTATTGGTGTGACTCCCGAGCGCACGGAATTTCTCTGGCCTTCACCAACCCCCATCGAAGAATTTGAACTCCAGCCCTCTCAATATGGCCAGTATGAAGCCCTCACCGTCCTCGGGGAAACAGTTAGACGAAAAGTAAACAAACTAGTCTCCTCGTGCGAATCGCTTAACTGTACTGTAACATTCTCGGGCGCTGTGATCAAGGCCCTGTGCTATTTCATGCGTCGCTGCCGAGAACTACGCCCTACTGTTGCGCTTCCAACCAATTCTGAGTCGACCACTGTAGGGGACGACTTAGGTAGTCTACTGAGGGACAATTTCCATGCAAGGATTCTTGTTGTGCGTGCAGCTGAAGACACTGCCGCGCAGTACCTCGCCCTCATGAACGCCGTGTTCACCGCGCAGAAGTTGAGAGTGCCGATCGATGCCTGCATAATTCCCCCGACTACGATGTCGCACAACACCGATGACCCCCTGCGACAGTCGTCTACAACGCTGCAAGAAGCAAGCCATTCAAGCCTGTTTCAACAAGCAGCAGATCTGACAGGTGGCATCTATCTGCGAGTCCCCCGTCCGGCTGGTCTACTTCAGTACCTCATATCAGTCTTTCTTCCACGGAGTGGTTTACGGTCACAGTTGATTTTGCCGGACAGTCGAAGTGCGTCTACAGGCGTGGACTTTAGAGCTGCGTGTTTCTGCCATCGAAAGTTGGTCGATTTGGCTTACGTGTGCTCCGTTTGTCTGTCCGTTTTCTGCACATTTTCCCCAATCTGTTCAACATGTCAAGCGCCCTTCAAAGTCCCACAGGCTGCTTCTGTAATTCCAGAGAAACCGAAATAAAGAGTTATTATTTGAGCGTTTTCTTTGTAACACACAAACCTGACTGACCGAAACTGACTGATTGAGTAGACGGTTTTCTGTGTGGGCGTCATCACGCATATCGTGAATCAGCTAAATGACTGGTTTTTTATCTAACCGATGCCGCGCGTTGCTGCTAATTTGCTCCATTTCCGCGTCTTTTGTAGCCTTAAAATGGATTCTGACGGGCCAACAAAAGCCAAGAAAGCGAAGGTAATAGTTTGTTTCAGCTCATGTAAAACGACTCAATTTTTGTTGATTCCTGACTATTTGATGGTGTTACACTGCACTTTGTCGTCACTTCAATGCGCAAATTTATTCTAATTAGGTTTCCTCACAGTAAATGCGGTGTCTTTACAAGTGATTTGAGTTTAAACGCAGCGTCAATCGCAAGCTTGATATAAACCATTTTTTTGACAAGATTCGTCAAACTAGTGTCTAAAATTGATCAATTCTTCCCAACAACACGAACGATCAGTTGTTGGTTAAGTCGACGTCAGCCGCTTCTCTCACATTGCCAATTTACTTTTCCCGCTAACAATGGCCACAATGTAGATGGACGTCTTTATGGGCATTGTGCGGTCGTTTTTCGCAAACAGATGCCTCACGATCCAGTTCCGTGTGTTCAGTAAACGCACACTTGCGTAGACGCCTTCTTATCACACGCTTGGGTATTCTGGCGAGGGCCTGCAATCCCTATTTATTTGAATATGACAACAAGGATTCTAATTAAGTGTCTTCGAGTGGGCTTCACGATTGACAGGGACAAAAGTTTTCGCTTACTCTTCATGGTCGACCTGTTATCACAAGTACGCCTAGTGAACGATTCTGAGTTGCATTAACAGTTCATCCAGGCCTGTCGACTTGGTCTCTGAATGCAGTGTGAATATGCTTTTAAGTGGCTTCATCCAACCCAGTGTCTGAATCACCTGTTTTAAGGAACTCCTTTTGTGGGGTACTGGTGAATCGAAGAAATCGCTGTGTGTGCTACTGCCTCAGATTTGCCACCTTTGAGTCTGGTTGTAATATCGAACTCGATGTGAAAGATTTTACTTAGCAACTGATGTTAGTGACAGTATTTACTCTTCCTGTTTAGCTACAAGGGCCAGAGATGCATTCCAAGGCGTGGCACATAATGGTGAGTTTTTCTGCTAATCCCTGTGTGTACCCTTTATCACTATTCAGTTGTGACTCAGTGAGTGTGTTCGCGACTTCCTGCATTGGATTAATATTCTAGCTGTGATCTCTCTGTGTAATTTAAATGGCACCTTTACCTGTATTTACAAGCATTTGAGACTAGGTTACCACACGCTGTCTCGTCTAACGTAGTTTGTGTGGCTCAAAAGGAAAACAATGTGCACACACCCGACCACCTAGACTTTGTTTGATGCTGTGTTCTGATGAGACGTCACTGTTTACGCAATTGGCAGAGCGGAATGGGTTACGAGGCGGGCAAGGGCCTGGGCGCCATGTCGCAGGGTCGCACCGAGCCTGTGACCGTGCAGACCAAACACGACCGTCGCGGTGTTGGCGGGGGTGCCGGCAGTCACCTGCGCGACTCCACGACCGGCGACTTTCCCCGTGGACCGCACGCGTGGACCGAGGAGACCGAGGAGGTGAAGGTGGACGGTGACCTTGTGTACGAGTGGTCAAGGTGGACTGGGGAAAAGGACGTCGACGATCTTCCCCACCTGGCGCTCGAAGGCATTCAAGGCGGCATCCTTCCTCCAACCTCTCCTGACGCCCTCGGTCCCCCGGTGTGTGATCTGGGAACCCAGACTCGCTACTGCTCCTCGGAATTGCTTCAGGAGGTGCTGCAGTACAAGGTTTGTAGCTACTAGTGATGTTGGCCAGATCCAACCAGGCTTCAGTGGATAGCTTGACCCTTGAACTCATGTACTGTGACCTTGTTGGCCTGTAGGTCAATACATACTCCCTGGGATGTAGTCTATTATGAAAACAATCCACTCAGTGTCTACCGTTGTTGTCATGGCCTACGAGCCCCACCCACTAACTGTTGAGGAGATTCTTCGAAGTTGGTCAATCCTCTAAAGGGGACGGTCACTTCTGTCCGTGCGGACGCAATGTCTATCCTCGTGTGGCGGCGGACACTGTCACCACATCTGGAAGTAAGCCGATTTACCGCTGTTCTGGCCTTTTAGAATTGTTTGGATAATATGCCTCGCGACCTGCTCACCAGTGCTCGCATTCGCAGTAACCCCTTTGAGGAAATCAGGAAAGGCATCTTTATGAACAGGTGAGTTGCCAACCCCCCCCTACCCTCCCCCTCCCCCCCCTAAATCTCGACACACTTGACACGCCATCCAAGGTCACACCACCCGGTGTGTACAAGCATTCTGGGCCGTCATCTGCTTAACCATTTTAGGGCCGCGATGAAAATGGCAAACATGGATTCGCTCACAAATGGCCTCTTCTCTCAGGCGGCTCCTCCTCATGTATGTTGTCATGTTTATCACGTGGTTCGTTTTGTCTAACCCTCTGTGCGCCACTATTAGTTTTCGCGCTCGCCTCTTGGTGCTCTCAAGTCCGAAGTCGTCAGCGTTGTCGACGCCGTAAGCGTCACACAAGATCGTTTTCCTGCATTCAATCAGGAGCTCACGGTTAGGGATGCGTAGAATAAGGGACCTAGGTGTAGCCTGTTTCCTTGAATAAGGGGTAGCTGTGGTACTGCGTTGTGGACAGTCATTATGCTAATTTCTAAGTTTGAATGTGAAGACGGTCTCCACCGTACTGCGTACTTACCTTCGACGAGGTAGCCTTGTTCCTGCAAACACCTGCTTCTAGTTTAGTACCAATTGTGGCCTTCGAGGGCAGCCGCTTCTTCTCCACATTGCAGGAGATTTTGCACTTCGCCGACATCTGCGCAGGACCTGGCGGCTTCTCTGAATACCTGACGTGGCGTCGTGGTGCCTCGGCGTTGGCGGCAGCTGAAAGCACAACCGGCAACTCGGCGGCCGCCCTCTTCCCCCGCGTCCGCGGCTACGGCATGACCTTGAGTGGGTCCTGCGACTTCCGACTGGACAACTTCCTTGCTGGACCGGCCGAGGTCTTTAGGCCGTTCTACGGCCCCAAGCAAGACGGCGACATCACCAGTTGGGCGAACTTGGAGGGGTTTGCTAATTTGATCCACAAAAACACCGACGGCCGAGGTGTGCACGTGGTCATGGCGGACGGGGTGAGTGGTGTTGGTGGAGGCGCAAGATTGGAGATGGCGGGAACTCTACCGTTGACTAGAAAGCTCAGTTAACCTCTATCGTTGTCTTGTGTGTTGACGGGCACACGACTCACTGCGGTGTATTTGGGGACCCCATTCGTGGTTAAGGGGTTACCTGCTTAAACTGTTGTGCGCTTTCGAGCTGGTGTAATTTGATCCATTATCTCCTCTAAAACTCACACAATGGATATGCCATTGTTGACTACCTACTAGACTAACCGTCGTCGTGTGCTTGACGTTTCGCCATCGTCCCACGATGCACGTGGTATCACCTGGCGATACTGGTGGTTTAAATGCCGTTATCGACTCTCATTCCCCCTGTGTTGTTGTTGTTGAATGTGTCATGTGCGTATTTACCTTAATTGCTTTTGCAGGTGTTCTGCGCGCCGGTAAAATCACTCTGCTTTCAATTTTCAGGGATTCGACGCCTCCAGTGGTTATAATTTGCAGGAGGTGCAATCAAAGCACATCTACCTGTGCCAGTGCCTCTGCGCGCTCACGCTTTTACGCCCAAGTGAGTGGAAATCAGATTTGTTTAAACGAGCACACAGACCGCTATTAACACCAACTTTGCAAGTAGTGGTCGCCAACCCTTTCCTGGCCTTAATTAAGCTCCACCATGAATTCCTAACAAACGAATTAGTGATAGCTCGAGCCAGGTGACCGGGTCTGTTGTTATTTCCATCTTCGAATTGAAACAACGCGTATAGCCCTCTGTTTGTGTGAGCCTGTCTTCCCCAAAACCATCGATTTATCAGTTAATCCACCCCTTGGCAGTCCTTCGTGGCCCCACTTTGCGTTGCTGCACGCTTTCCTCCGGCCTTGGTCTCGGATTAAAAGTAGGCTCCTGACACCGACGGATTCGTTACTGAAAGCACATCAGTAGGACGTTCTCGTCGGATTAACCAGCTTCGACTACTCTGCAGAAGCAGCTGTGATCGGTACCTGCTTGAGTGATTTGCTAACGCTGGAATGACAAGAACCTAGTCATTTGCAGTTGTGTCTGTTCCAGGTCTGTCACTGCTATCTCGACATTCAGCCCAAGCAGAGGGCCAGCTGACGGTGTCAATAAGTCCACGCCTTGGCTGCCAGCTATTCAAGATCGTGGTTTGTTCCTGTGCATCTCGTCAATCACACACACTCACGCACTTCGGGGCATTAGTTAGTAAAGCCCACTGGAATGCCTTTTTGGGCAATGCAGAGGCCACGTTTCCCTCCCAGCTTGGTGATTGGGGGTTCAAGCCCAGTCTGCATTTAGTTTTTTTCTTGAAAGTGTTCCTTTTCACCAATTGGGCACCGGTTGCCTCACCCGAAACCGCCTCGTTTTGATTGGTCCAACAGTGTGTGTTGTGGCGATGGACATTCTATCCTATTCTCGCCGGGTTGTTTCGTTATTACTCCGGCGGTGTACATGCAAGTTATTTTATTACTTTCAGGTGGGAGCTTCGTGACCAAACTGTTCGACGTCGTCACAGACTTCAGCGTCGACTTGATCTGGCTCATGAGCCACGTCTTCAAGAAGGTCTCATTAATCAAACCGGTCACCAGTCGGCCAGCCAACTCTGAACGGTTCGTTCTGCTTTTGGACCCATTGAACCCCCTTTTCGGTGCACTCCAAGATCTGTCTACTGTTTCTACAGATTTAGAGTACTTTGACCGTGTTTTTAGTCAAGGAAAAACGTCTTTTGGGAGCTGGTGCCGATAGAGATGTGGGTGGGTAAATGTCATCTCCACGTACCTCTCTTGCTCTGTTCACTCTAACTTGTTGTCCTCCCACACTGGCATTGTTCTCTTCTTTGATTGGTTGACTACGTCCGTTCAGTGCCTATTTCGCTCACTCACCCTCTCACGTGTCATCCTAATCTACCTCTAAATCGTCGCACGACATGTGTTTGTGCTGGTGGGATGCAGGCTACATCACTGCAAGCCTGTTTCCTGTTGATCTGCCAACTTCCATGCCAACTTTGACTAACCAAGGCCTAAAACTACAAACGTAAACCGTGGTCGTCTACGCCACGGTTTCTTGTGTCCATAAGGCACCTGCCGCGTGCGTTTGATTAATTGTAGTAATTTGCGACACGACGGGTGCCAGCTGGGTTGTTTTAATCATCGTCGTTTCAATCTAATGCATGCAGTCTGCTGAATACGTGAATAGACGGACGCCTTCATTGTAGGTACCTTTTGTGCGAAGGCCTCATCACCTCCAGCAGTGGCATGGCTGGGTGTCCTAGAGCCCCTTCGAAGGCATCTTCATCCGATGGCAGAGCAGAACCCGCTGTGAATGAAGGCGAGTTCAAACGAAGACCCAGGGGGTTAAAGGTGGACTACTCGTGCGGCTACTGTTACCCTTCTACGCCTGCACACACTCACGGGACGGAATCTGGTCAATTTGACTCGACGTCAGCCGTGGGGACGCTGATTCAGCACTTCCTGGCGGTCAGCGAGGAGCTGCATGCCAGATCAACCGGTGAATCGACAGCCTCTAACCAGGAATGCTTGGATGTGCTGCGATTGGCTAGCGATGCAGCTCTCTGCAACGACACCGGATTTAAAACATTCATTACAAACGCGAATGACAAGTTAGGTGTTGCTTATGATGGACATTTCTTCTTTCGTGTCGATGGTGTGTGGTATCCGCAAACTCGCATGCGACTGGATGTGCGTCGTCTGGGTAGAAACATAGTATTTTCATGAAATGGTTATGCTGCTGCAATGCTGTTTTGCAGTCCACAATTCCCCTTGGCTACCTTTGTCTTCGCACCACTGAGTTGCTTGGAAACCTTTAACAAATGTTGTGCAAGTTAGCTTAAAATCACGAGTGTCCGATGCATGCGGTAGCTCGTAGATCAGAACAGACGAATTTCTGCTCCTTCTCTTCATTGATCTAAATCGGATACGCGAGTGCTGATAAGCTAGAATTACAACTTCTGCGAAAGCCATAGCCTGATTTCCTACTGCTTTTTTACCAGTTGTGCGTGAATGACACGTTAATTCGCGTTTATTTGGCAGAATCGCCGAAAACCAGTGCATTTACCTCACAAAATTGCTCACTTACGCCCAGGACGCGACCCTTGAGGACACCAACCAAAAGTCAATCAGGGATGCGTGTCTAGCGAAGTGGAAAGTACGTCTGCTTTACTTAACCCATTTGATGGCTCAGTTTTGGGGGGGGAGGATTAGACTCCTGTCTGTGTGTTTTTTTGGCGCCTGAATTTCCATCGAAGGAAGTGGGGGGCACATTAGAAGGGGATAGTTTGTCTGCATCACCGTTGGGTTTGTTCGAAACCACGATGGGGCTTTGTTGGGGGTTGGTCAAATGTGATTGGTCGCGACGCCGTATCAACACGCACCCCGTTTCACCCACATCCCAACTCCGTTTGTTCCTGTTGTAGGTACCTTCCGTCGAGAGACATTCAGTGCCTTGGCCGCTGTGGCCTTCAAATATCCACAAAGTCCTAGATAGTATCATCGGCGTAAGTTTTGTCAATCTTACCCCTGCTGCTGTTTCTCTTGTTATTCACGCAGCTTCTAAGGAAAAATGCGTGGACAACCGAACTGCATTCTAGCGCTGACAATGCTTGTCGTTAATTCGTAAAACAATGGTCTTATTTGGATCGTTTTGAAGGTTAGGGCGGATTGTAGAACGATGCCTCTCAGTTATTAGAGTAAAAAGGCATGCATGAATCGATGTAGCTATTGTTTCTACTGTAAAGAACCCCGGTCACAGAATATGCGCATTTCAGAATTTCCCAAGGACCTTCAGCCCCGAACTCCTGCCAGACGACTTAAAACGTCCGAGCAAAGTTCCTGCGTTCTCGCCTGCCGACTTGTACCGCCGTGACTTCAACCAGCTCTCCATGCTCGCCCTCGTCCTCGCCGCCCCCCATCTAAACGGCTCAAACGAGCTGCCGCGACCAATGATGGTCCTGTCGTGCGGTGTCTCGTCACAGGTACGCACCGCGCATCAACGGGTGATTGGTTGGTAGGCGTTTTGGTAAAAATGCGGTAGCCTGGCGGTTTTTGTGACCCTGTTGCAGTTTGAGCGGACCCATTTAAACGGCTCACGAGCTGCCGCGACCAATGATGATCCTGTCGTGCGGCGTCTCGTCACAGGTACGCACCGCGCATCAACGGGTGATTGGTTGGTGGGTGTTTTGGTAGAAATGCGATATCCGGGCGGTTTTCGTGACCCTGTTGCAGTTTGAGCGGACCCATTTAAACGGCTCACGAGCTGCCGCGACCAATGATGATCCTGTCGTGCGGTGTCTCGCCGCAGGTACGCACCGCCCATCAACGGGTGGTTGGTTGGTAGGCGTTTTGGTAAAAATGCGGTAGCCTGGCGGTTTTCGTGACCTTGGTGCAGTTTGAGCGGACTTAAACAAGTAGTTCTACTACTGTACTCGGTGGGTGGCATGGGCATTAATCTGCACCAAACTGACGTGATTTGTGTGTTCCGATTTCATTACCCCACGACTGATTGTATTGTTTGCTAGACGTCCTGTAGACTGAAATACACCTACGATGGAAGCCAGTGGGACGAGTTCTCCAACAGTCTTCTGCACTTCAACCCTCGCCTGCCTGCGGCAAGTCTCGTCTGGGCGCTTCCAGTTAACACGTACTGTCAATGTGTAGGTTATTTTTTTTGGCACACTTTAAATGGTTTTTCTCGATGCGAATAATGCTCGGACGAACAAGTGCCAAGAGGACAAACGCCCGACATTGACGCAAGGCCTCCTGAAAGGACTAATACAACCCGTTGCAAACAATCACGTCGGGGTCACCGATCGTTGAGGGCCACTGCGTTGAATCTAGCCCGATTACGTCATCCTAAAATCCACAAAGACGAAGAAGGTGGTGTATGACTCGTGCGATCGTGTTCACCGATACAGTCTTGGTGAAAGTTCAAACGTCCAAATTGTCAAATGGATACAGCGGGTAGTGGTGGTACGTACAGAGGGGTGAATGAGTAGGCGGCAGTGAGTTGGAGAATCCGGCGTTGGAGGAGGTGAACATGAATCCACACGATTCACTACGAACCCTTGATTTGTTAATATCTTAGCATCAAATCTATTGCCTAATATGAACTTTGCTTGACAATTTCGTTCATCTCAGCTATAGCGCAGATACTACAGGTGCTGCAGTATCACTGTATCGCTAGAGTGGTTGCCTTCTAGATGTGTTTTTGGAGGTGCTTGATACGACCACTTCAGTAGATCAGGCCTTGCGGACCCATCTAAACGGTGTTGAGGTATTGTGTACGCACGTTGACGCAGAATCTGGTCTTGTCCATGTAGGGTCTTCGGCGGTCTGCACTAGTGGTACTAGACGCCGCCTTCCTCTACGGTGTCGATCTTCGCTCCCTCCACTATCAACAGCGGTATGTGCTTGCAGAAACGCAAGATTTCTCATAAACACCCTACAACTTCGTACGTCTTCTTTTTGCAGAATGCGACACGTCCGTAAGCTGTGTGAGGTTGCAAACTTCGTGGGCGAAAGTCGAGCCAAACTGATCGCACCACCCCTGATACCGCTGGCCGAACTCTCCTCCTACATGAAACAGTAAGCTCTATTGCCGTGCCCTATCCCCCGACGATCCACTTGAGCCTCAGGAAGTGGTCTCCACGGTGTGTATTCCCTCCTACTTTGTCACCGGACACGCTCCCAGATCCCTAGGTCATGGTGATTGGCGCGCGCGCGTGCCAACACACACCGACATAATGTTGAACGCGGCGAATTTCGTGTCGCTTTAAGCCCAACTAGAGCCAAGTGTGTGTTTGCGTTGGATGATGATGCATTTGATAGCAACTCGGACCTAACGTGTCTTTTTAGGCTGCCAGTTAGGTCCTGCAGAGACCAGCCCGTCCCCGCCCCCATGTTGACCACAGACTTCGGATCCAGTTGCATCCCGGAAAGCCTCATTCTGGTGCACCATTTGGGCGGTAAGTCTACAGCTGATTCGCGTAAGTTGACGCTGGCCGTTATTTGTGTTAGTGCCCCAGCGTATTCTTCCCATAGATGGACTTACCACCTCCAATCGAACCCTTTTAGGTCCATGGATTGTGTGCAGGAGCCGATCTACCAACTGTTTCTACTACTTCAACGTGAACACCCAAGAGTCCACGTATGAGTTGCCTCCAGACGCCGCCTTGTCTTTCAGGTATGCTCATTTGCTTCTCGTTGCTGCCAACACAAGGCGAGATCGTACACAAGCATCAGCCAACCTATAGCCTACCCCGGCAGAATCTGATTGGCTGCCGATTGTTTGCGCCGAAGTCACCCGAAGTAGATGGGTGTTTTCGCTTTTGTCATGTGTAGGTGGGCGACTGCGAACCACCCGTTCTACCTTGACCCAGCACCGATTTTCTGCTTTAGAGAAACGCGCTTCTTCAGCGTCGACTGGAAAGGCAATTCTCGCGACGACTTCGACGCAGCCAAACTGGCCGCCAGTTTGAACTCCTGAGGATGTCTTCTGGTTTATGTCTTTTCGCGTTTTTAGTAAACCCGTGTGCACCCCTTCAAGTGTATTTTTTTTCTTGTTGTGGTGCGAGGCTCAACGGCACAATTTCGTAATCTGAGATGTAGTCAAAGTTACGAGCTCCTGGCCAAATAATCTCGAGCATGTGTTAAAGTTCCCACTACAGAATCCTTCATTGGCTAACTAGGGAGGAAAAAATGCGTTCTTGGGGGCTTGTTGGGCGCCACTTTGTGTCCGTACTTCGCCAGCCTGGTCGTGTAGACACGCCCTTATCGTCTCTTGTGGTTCAGGGTCTTTAGTCACTGCTACAAACCAGTCAAAGCAGTAGTTGCTGAAGTACGTTGGGTGTGACTTCGACTAAATCACTGGTCCCAGGAATTTGGGACATTTCTTTTTAGCGGGGGGTTTAGCTGTCCTAGACTAAGTGTGGGACCTGTCGGATCCATTGGATTATCCACAAATTCTGCGGCGGAACGATTGGCAGGATGACTTAATTTCCGTGGTCGTTTGTGGTTTTGAAGGGATTGCACGCGAGGTTTTAGAACACCGGACGACAAGTCCACGTGAGGTACTTAACTTCTCACAATATGGCAGAGTGTACGAGGGCAACTGGCGAACAGTGCATCCGACGGCGCTTCATTTTGTACGAATTTCAACAGGGAAAAGGCATCTAAGGCACGGGGAATCAGTTTGTAGTTGTTGTGGACCCCAGCATGTGGTCTTGAACCACGCCGGGGCCACGGAATTAACCCTGGCCCAATTACGCTTGCCTAATACCCGCGATGAAGAAAACGATCGGAGAGGACGTGGACACAACCGTTTACTTCAGAGTTCAACCACGTTGGTGTCGTGTTTGGGGTTTGCGCGTGTGTATTTACACCTCGGGTGTGTTCGTCATACATGCGCTAACGTCGACACCTTGGTGTGGGGATGCTCCAAGATAAATATTCGTGTGAATGAGTTGGGAGTTGTGGATACCCGCGGCTGGCGACTTGCTGCGAAAGGGGGAATCCTGTGTCGGGGGGTGGAGCAATCGGATTAAGGAGTGTGGATAAGTACGATTCACAACATAGTGCTCTTGGTGCCGACGTTGTGTCTCAGGTAACGTGTTATTGAGGCAAACCTATGAACACACGTCTTTCACTGTTTGCACGCTGGCAACAAGCAGCGAATGGATTTCATGTGGAAAATTGCGACAGGGGATGAAAATAATAATTCTTTTCTTACGAGAGTCCCAAACGTAGAAAGGTGTCAAGGGTGAATCCTGGGCAGCAGCTCAGTAATTCGACGCCGAAACAGGACATCCACTTGAAGAATGTTCCCCTGTGTATCTGGCTGATGGACATGAAGGTGTACTTTATTATGAACTCGTGGAAACTGGTCGTCAGACGGTGACTATGGAACGCTACAGCCGACAATTGAACAAAATGACAACGCTTGACCACCTCACGTTGCTGGCGCGACTCAGAAGACCCTCTTGAACTTGGGGTGGTGAGCGGATAAGCAGTTCAAGACGCTGGACACGATGTGCGTAATCTCGTCGTCGATGAGTTTATTGCCTCGACAGAGCCTGCAAGATTCTTCTGCGACGACATTGGTCCGTACCATGCCAGATGTCCCAAGGTTGTTTAAAACGGTGGACCTTAATTCCAAGATTACGTTCATAGTTCGCTGTTTTTTTAAATATTAAGTAAATTTGCTGAAAAACTCGCAATAATTATTTCCTGCACGTAGTAATTTGACAAGAGATCTACAATACACGTCTGCTTCAGTAACGCTGCGCCGTTAGTTATACTGTAGTTCCAAAACGAGTATTAAACACTCAAGCATTCACTAGGATTTCGCATCTGACGCTGTACTACCTGACGCCATGTTGTTTCATGTGACATTTCTCTGATATATTACGGTCACCTCGGAGCTGCCTGTTATGCCCTTGTTTTTTTTTCATTCAATCCTTGAGAAATTCTGACGCCAAGCATGATGTAATAAACGTGAATTAGCAAGATTGTGGGTTGATTGTTTCCCCTAATTGGTAGGCTTGCGTGTGGTGCCATGTGCTGGGTTATTCAACCAATAGGTGCGTAGACTAATCCTTGAGTCACGTTCTACTAGGCTGCAATTCGTTCCAATTGGCGAATGGCTTCTTAGTCCCGAATAGACAGTCGAATTCGTAGGTTAAAACGAGTTTTCGGGGCCACAAATTTGCCGATACAAAGTGCTTAAAAGATTCAATCGTAAATGGTCATTTGGTACCCATATCGATCGGGCTACTACTTAGTTTCAGTTGTAACTGATCAGTACTGGTTAACAACGCGACTGGCGCGCATTTGAGGTGGGAAAGGGACAATGCTTTTAAGGTGGTGATTGAGCACAGTCGAGAGATAGCTAAGTGTGTTCTAATCTACCGTCAATCACTACCTTCAAAAACAATCATGCTGAGGGTTTGGAGTATTCTTGCACCCCAGCAAAGGAAATAAACTTGACTACTTACTTTTTTCGGTGTTTTTTTGACATCGCGTGAGAAAATCTTTGCCTGCGGTGCAGAATGCACGTGACTTACGAAACTGAGGCTCACGAAAGTCGATGCTTGTAGAAGCCAGAGTGGTTCAAGCCGACTTCAAACGCAACTGGGTGTTTACCTTGCAGATGCTCGATGAGGTGTTTTCACACAGTTGACTTTAGCATTTCGAATTACCACCACACAAAACACCACTGCTGTTGGTGTTTCCGTGAAATGTA